AGATATTTTAAATCAAAAAAATTACAGTGTGTTTGGGACATAAAATAGTAAGTTTTCAACAAATTTTGTGAAAAATTTTTTTTGTAAAAGATAAAAATAAAAACCAAAATTTTGGTTTTGTGTGTGTGCGTGCGTACGTGCGTGCGTGCGTGCGTGCGTGCGTGCGTGCGTGCGTGCGTGCGTGCGTGCGTGCGTGCGTGCGTGCGTGCGTGCGTGCGTGCGTGCGTGCGTACGTGCGTGCGTGCGTGCGTGCGTGCGTGCGTGCGTGCGTGCGTGCGTGCGTGCGTGCGTGCGTGCGTGCGTGCGTGCGTGCGTGCGTGCGTGCGTGCGTGCGTGCGTGCGTGCGTGCGTGCGTGCGTGCGTGCGTGCGTGCGTGCGTGCGTGCGTGCGTGCGTGCGTGCGTGCGTGCGTGCGTGCGTGCGTGCGTGCGTGCGTGCGTGCGTGCGTGCGTGCGTGCGTGCGTGCGTGCGTGCGTGCGTGCGTGCGTGCGTGCGTGCGTGCGTGCGTGCGTGCGTGCGTGCGTGCGTGCGTGCGTGCGTGCGTGCGTGCGTGCGTGCGTGCGTGCGTGCGTGCGTGCGTGCGTGCGTGCGTGCGTGCGTGCGTGCGTGCGTGCGTGCGTGCGTGCGTGCGTGCGTGCGTGCGTGCGTGCGTGCGTGCGTGCGTGCGTGCGTGCGTGCGTGCGTGCGTGCGTGCGTGCGTGCGTGCGTGCGTGCGTGCGTGCGTGCGTGCGTGCGTGCGTGCGTGCGTGCGTGCGTGCGTGCGTGCGTGCGTGCGTGCGTGCGTGCGTGCGTGCGTGCGTGCGTGCGTGCGTGCGTGCGTGCGTGCGTGCGTGCGTGCGTGCGTGCGTGCGTGCGTGCGTGCGTGCGTGCGTGCGTGCGTGCGTGCGTGCGTGCGTGCGTGCGTGCGTGCGTGCGTGCGTGCGTGCGTGCGTGCGTGCGTGCGTGCGTGCGTGCGTGCGTGCGTGCGTGCGTGCGTGCGTGCGTGCGTGCGTGCGTGCGTGCGTGCGTGCGTGCGTGCGTGCGTGCGTGCGTGCGTGCGTGCGTGCGTGCGTGCGTGCGTGCGTGCGTGCGTGCGTGCGTGCGTGCGTGTGTGTGTGTAACGCATAACTCATGAACCGATAAACAGAAAAACACCAAATTTTAAACTTAAGCTTTGTTTCAGTGTCCAGTGAGCTGATTAGATTTTGGGCAGAGTCGGAACATCTGGGGGGGTACTTTATAGGTGGTCATTTTTATATTTTATGGAATATATCTGTTATTTACGTTTGGAGAAGAAAATTCTTCAAATAAAAGTTACTTTTAATATAATTATCTATAATTTTTGTTTTATACAAAATTTTCCTAAAATGGTCCGTATTCGATAAATTTGACAAAATGTAAAAAAAAAATATTTTTTTATAAAAATTGTTCAAATAAAAGTTGTTTGTAATATAATTCTCTATAATTTTTGTCCTATACATAATTTCTCTAAAATGGACCGTATTTGAGATATTTGAGAAAATGTATAAATTTCGAAATTTGAAGAAAACTCAAAAACGGATAAAGGAAAAAACATTAAATTTTAAACTTAAGGTTTATTTCGGCCTGACGTGAAATTATTAGATTTTGGACAAAGTCGGAACATCTGGGGGGGTACTTTATGCAAGGCAGTTTTTATATTTTATGGAATATATCTGTTATTTATGTTTGGAGAAGAAAATTGTTCAAATAAAAGTTACTTCTAATATTATTATCTATAATTTTTGCTTTATGTCAAAATTTCCTGAAATGGTCCGTATTCGAGAAATTTGACAAAATGTGCAAAATTCTGATTTTTATGAAAATTGTTGAACTAAAAGTTGTTTGCGATATCGATTTCTATAATTTTTGTTTATACATGATTTTTCTAAAATGGACCGTAATGGAAAAGTGCTAAATTTAAATTTTTGCAGTATTTTCGTTTTCAATGAATATCTATAGAAAAATGTTTCGAGGTAAATGTATGTGTAAAATGTATATATTTAGTTTATCCTCTAAACATTTATAGAGATGCTGCAATAGGTTGTACAAAATAACCGGAAAATGCCTATAATAACTAGATAGGAAAGTCATGTGTTGGACACATCAGATTTTTGTCATTTTCAAAGGCCTGGTCTAGTAACTGCATCGAGGAGAGCAGTCTACATAGGTTGGATGTTTTATTAGTTTCTTGTATAATAATAAATATAAATACTGTAAATCGTTCGAGGCAAATAAAATAATCAATCTGTCAATGAAACCTTTTTCTACGTACAATCGAGGACAATATTCAAATCGAAGAATTTGGAAGGCCTCGTCCCGACTTAAAAATCACAAAAACGCAGAAGGCTTCCACCTCTAGTCCGTCAAGCTTCAACAGACGTATATGAAACTTTAATCGGAATGTGTATTAAAAAAATTAAGGATTTATGGATGTGTTTTGTGTGTATTTTTTTTTCGAAATGAAAAAAATCTGGACGTGTCACCCAAATATTTTTATATCCAGCGGAGCACCTGTTGTGAACATGATGCCCTGGCCTAGCACCACCTGTGTGTTAAGATACGAGCCGCCACTGGTTTAAAGCAGTCAATAACTCAAAATTTATAGAGTAAAACATTAAAAATGTAAAATGTGAAAAAAACTTGAAAATGAAACAACTAAACTTCAAGAGGATGATTGTAAGGAAATTTCATGTTTTTTATAGTACAGTAAAAAAATGCAAAAGCCCAGGATTGCATTTAAACTTTTAAGCAGGCATTTGGGGAAGATTTCAAATTTCTCATTATGTCAAAGCCTCTTAGCTGTTAAATGTAAGTCTAGATATTCTGTAATACAATATATTAAAGTCTAATGACTAATGTTGAGTCAACATGATAACTTGTATCTATCAAGTGTATCAAATGTGAAAAACAGAACTCTACAAAGTTTTCCCATTTCGCTAATATACAATATTTAGTTTTTCCTGTTCGACATGCTGTTGTAATGTATATACTTTACTCAGTATCGGCTGTAAAAAGCTTTCAGTACTTTTTGCACAAGTGTATGTAAAAACGACAGAGAGTTAGCATTAGAGCGAACAGGAAACGAATAATATCAGCGATGCCAATTTGTACGGCCCGCCCAACGTATAAACGTATATACAACGTGTAAATCAGCAACGCTGATATTATTCGTTTCCTGCTCGTTACAATGCTAACTTTCTATAGTTTTCACATGCACAAGTGCAAAACGTATTGAAAAACGTTCATTGGTTGACACTGTACACTTTGATTCATTAAGGGTGGCGATCGGCCGTATCTCAGAATATCTTGACATAGATTTTTTTTTAAACAATCGCAAAAACAGGTCGATTTTTATTTAAAGGAGGACACCTTTCTTTAATATCCTCAACTGTCATATGTCATTTCTTTCCCCTACGCAAAATCTAACCAATACAATTTAAAAAGGAAAGTATGAAACATCGTTGGAAAGGTAATTTTATAGAAAATTCAGCAATATGACTGTACATTGCATTCTTTTTAAATTTAGCGCTTTCTAGCGGGATAAAAAATTATTACCTATGGTAAAGTATGACACTTCATTTTAATGCTAATTTGTGTTACATCGATTGAGATCTACTTAACCATCGTCTATCGATCATCAGTCATCACTCAACCAGCAGCGATCTTCGGCATCTACACACCCTAACAATTTTTGTATTCCCTGAGGTGAGATTTGTAAGTATACCAGTCCTCTTTGATTTTTGTGGTTCTTGCCTTATTAAAATATTTCCTAGCCATCTTCCTAAGGTGATCCAACTCGTGACACCACCGTGCGGTAGTCGTCTGATCGTGTTGGACCAGCCTTAAGGGGCAGTATTTCTTGTGTTTATTGTGCTTTAGATAATGTTCGCATGCTTCTCCAAACCATTGTTATTGTTTGGTGTTTCTTCCTCCACCTCTCTCAGAGCCTATTGGAGAAGGTAAGCATAGGTTGCCCTGTCCGTCTTCCTAGGGTTCTGAGATAACATAGAGATCGGCAACATTAAGTTTGTTTTGAATGTTATTCAGCGGTGATCTGACATCAAAATGTCATTAGACAATTGCCAGTTTAAAATTGATTTATATATACCAGTTGTGGATAAAGTAATATCTGTTAATATTTGACTGCGAAAGTTTAAAAATGTTGGTGTAGTACCTTTCTTTAAAATGCAAAGATTTTTGGTAATTATACAATCATACAGTGACCTTTCCTAGACTGATGTTGGCTAGCAGGACTAAAGTTGTAGCGCCCTGAATTTACGTATTCGGGCTGTCATGTCGGGCGATGTCGCTCACGCTCGTAGGTCTCAGATATGCAATTTTTATATCATAGAGAGCCACGAAAATGTCAGCCTTGTTCCTTTGTAGACAGTGTGTAGAGTGTAAGTGTAAACAGCGAGTCTGGTTGAGTTATCCGAGATTCTATCAGATAGAAAGCAAGATGGCCGCTTGTAGGCACAAAAACTTTTCCACCATTATTGTATTGTTTGTATTGTTTGTTAAAGTATTTTAATGAATTAGAAGATACATATGACAAAACTATTACTTGTATATATAAACATTTTAAAGAAAAAGTGATAGAACACAAGTTCTTGGGTAAATTAGAGGAATACAACCAAAATATATTGAAAGCCAAGAACAAATTTCCAGATAATGATTGGATTACCTAACGTGTTTTGGTAAGTTTTGATAAATTTTATATATCTTTAGTCCTTTTCAAAAGTAGCCCCCGTAGACTAGACCACGAGCTGCCACTGGTGAATACTATTAAAATCTATGCTACATGTACCTACAAATTCTGCAAAAATTTCACAATGCAATAATCAATACCTGAGATCTTGAAATAAATTTGTTGGGTCATACAAAGGAGAAAAACTTGAATTAAATTGAAAGAAAAATAAAAAAACTGTAGAAATAACATAATATTTAACAAACAAAAAATTTTTCCATCATTAAATTTTAAAAACATTTTAATCAACTTACCACTCTTCTTGTTGATGCTAACACTATCAAATCCAAGATAAATTCGTGCATCCACACTTAATAGCTTCTGATTAATTTCTTCGATATTATGAATATCTTCAAGACATACCTTTCCATTTTTGGTTTTACAATCTCCAGTATCTAATTTTACTAGATGACTAGTTAAATCCAAACTTTCCACATTTGGTTCTACAGAACTACCTTCGTAGGCAACGATAGCTTTACCAATAAGATTTTTTGATTTACAGCTTGACCTTACTTTAATAAAATAGGAGCTAGGGCGTTGATCGGCTGTCAGTATAAAATCTAATGTTTCTCCTTTTGTTAGTTTTACTGAAGATACTTGTGTATGCTTAACTGAATGTCCATCAATAGCTATTACTTTTACTAAATGATCTTCTAAGTTTAACGTCAAGGAACAACTTGTTCCACTAGCATATATTACTCTAAACCTATTATTGGTACTTTCTTTTACAGAAAAAACACTAAGAGGAGCACCAGTTGGTCCAACTCCATTTATCAATATAGTACCTTTAGATTCTGATAACACCAGTACATGATCTTTGTGATCTACATCAAAATTGTTTATATTTTCCTCCAATCTCTCAGCCTTTCTCACAATCAAAGCTCCGTACAAACCGCTCGATCTATCCAAATCAGAAAATGCATGGTACGAATGTGTTCCTGGCGAAGACGCTCTTAATTTATACTGAAACGTTGTGTACGCTCCTATAGGACATTGGGTTACTAAAGGGACTCCATCCATGAATGGTGTTTCGACGTTAGTTTGTCCTCGCCAGTGCATTGTTAGGCTTTGTCCCTGTTGTTTGTTGACGACATCTACTATTATAATGTCGTTGTGACAGACATGTATAGGAGGTCCTGGAATTTGACGGTTAATGGTAAGAATCTGTTGTGGTACATCATTGGAAGAAGAACAGAAAGTACAGTTAAGGCTATTGTGGCAATTGTCGCATATCCTAAAAAAATAAAATGCAAACAATTAATTTCGTAGCGGTAATTTTGGGAATTTTTGGGAAATTTATCATCCAATTTTTCGGATCTTGAATCGATATGTTTCCGAAACTTTTAAAACGTGATCGTGATATTACGTTAGTAAGGCTTCCCCCTTATCACTGCAAATTCAATCCTATTGATCGAATTTGGATATAAGTGAAAGGGCTTGTGGCTCAAAAAAACAGTACTTTTAAAATAGGCCGACGTTCAAGGTTCATTAAAAACTCGTATAGAACGTATAAAACCTAAATATTGGCAGAATCCTATTTCTATAACTTTCCGACGATTAAGACGATTCCACTGATAGTTTTGCAGAATCAATAGATTACGATATTTAGTGAATTTACAGATTTTCACAACAAACAAAATTAAATTACAAACACATTGGAGATCACGCGTAATAAAAAGCTTCCTATTTTTTAACTAACTTCTAAAGCATGCCAAAAATAAACAATCTTTTTACTTTTTATACAGCAAAAATTAAAAATACACAACGGACAGTCAAAAAAAAAGTGACAGGGTTGTTAATGAAAAACATAAAATTGCACTATCTCACCAGTCGCCATAAATAATTTTACTAAATACCGGTTAAGAATATTTTTAAATACTTACACAGAAGTAGGTAACTTTTCTATTATAAATTTAAATCTACAAATCATTGGCCAGTCAAGTTCATGGCAAGGACGATCACAGTTTTTAAAGCTTTGGTCTAAAAAAAAAAAAAGAAATTAATAAAGGTAATCAAATTTGGTAGCTTAATATAATACAAAATCAAAAGAAGACCAATATTAAAATTAAATCCTAAATAGATCAATCATAAGTCAATAACTTTAGTAACTAAGCTCCTATCTAAATTTTAGATGCATTAACTTTCGATTATATTTAAAAAATCAATTCAAACATTCAATTTAAAAAATCACTTTAAAAAATCTATTTAAGGAGGTCCTTTCGCCACCAATGTTAAATAAAAAATATTAGATTATGACTAAAATTAATTTTTTTCTAATAGTAGAAGTCCTTATTTATCTAATAGTGAACTTTTAACCATACCTTACCGTGCAAATTTTTGAGAATTTTTTTTTTTTTTAAATGTGTGTGTTTGTACAGTGTCTTACGAGAAAGTAAGACTTCAACAACAATTTTCGAATTATAATTCATTTTACTATTATTTATTGATTATATGGAGTAGAAAAAAACTAAAAATAAGGTTTTTGAAATATTTAGGTTTTGTTTTTTACAATAAAATATATAGGTTACCCTGGAATTTATTGAGAAATTAATATTAAAAAATCACAAAAAAATTTCAACTAGGTTACTTCAATTTTTTTTTAATATTAATTTCTCAATAAATTCCAAGGTAACCTATATATTTTATTGTAAAAAACAAAACCTAAATATTCCAAAAACCCTATTTTTAGTTTTTTTCTACTCCATCTAATCAATAAATAATAATATAATTCGAGAATTGTTGTTGAGGTCTTATTTTCTCATAAGACACTGTACAAATACTCACATTTTAAAAAAAAATTCTCAAAAATTTGCACGGTAAGGTATAGTTAAAAGTTCAACATTAGATAAATAAGGACTTCAACTATTAGAAAAAAAATAAATTTTACTCATAATCTAATATTTTTTATTTAACATTGGTGGCGAAAGGGGTGGCGAAAGGACCTCCTTAAAAAATATATTTAAAAAATCTATTTAGAAAACAATTTAAAAAATCTTCTGAAAGTATATATTTAAAATATCTATTTAAAATATATATTGAAAATATCTATTTCAATATCTATTTTAAAAATCTATTTAAAAAATCAATTTAAAATATTTATACAAAATATATATTTAAAATATCTATTTAAAATGTCTATTTAAAATGTCTATTTAAAATATCTATTTAAAAGAACAAAAAAAAGATTGTCACTACCTGTTGCTATCAGGCCTGCATGTCATGGAAACGTTACTTAACTTATACATGCTATTTAAAATTATTTCAAAAAATCTCTTCAAAAGGTCTATTTAAAAAATCAATTTCAAAATCTATTTAAAATATCTATATAAATAGATATAAATCTATTTAAAAAATTCATTTAAAAATCTATTTAAAAATCTATTTAAAAATCTATTTAAAAATCTATTTAAAAACCTATTTAAAATATCTATTTTAAAAATCTATTTATAAACCTATTTAAAATATCTATTTTAAAAATCTAATTATAAAATCAAATAAAATATATTTAAGAAATATATTTAAAAAAATATTTAAAAAATCTACTAAAAATATGTATTTAAAATATCTAAACTGCTGGACACTCGAATTTACACAAAGAGATTTTTAGGCAAAATTTAAAGTTCAATATTTTCAACAGGAATGCAAATTTTTGAACACGTGTAGATTTTAAGAGCTAGATTTTTTCGAATTAAGATGCATGACGTATATTTATCGTAGGATCAAAGGTTTATTATATACAGAGTGATCAATAAAGTGATGCAAAAAAATCAAAAAATTTGTATGAGTGAAATTTCCGCAAAAAAATTTGTTGGTCGTTGTAATATGGTTCGTTACTAAGGTAACATCAATATCTCTAGATATTTTTGTCAGTTTTTGGATCAAGGCCCTCAGGTATTGTACACACTACTAAACATAAAATTTGGGTAGCAACATTTTTAAAATGCTATGACTTGACAGTGGATTGACGGTTATTGATAATTTTTGTGGATATGGAATTCTTATTTCACGTAGGATTCCTTTGGTCTAAGCATAAATTTGAGGATTGAAATTTACACATTTTACCGGGCCGATATTAGAAAAAAACGTAGCGTACGACGAGCTCGAAGGTTTGGCATTATTTAAGTTTTTGTAAAAATAAATTCTCACCTCAAGTTGTTTTAATTTAATGTCCTTCTTACTGTTCTGTCCAAAACTCTCACCCCAGTTTGTTGTCTCAAAGAGTCATTCAGTTTTACAGAGTTCTTTGTTCACCTCCATGCCCATATTTATGATCGGCTGTAATTTCTTCGCGACGCGTCTATTTCAAAGTAGGCATTGGAAAATCAAATTTGTTACTATGGAATTAAAAACTGTTATTATTATTTTAGAAATAATCTGACACATTTCAATGTTATAATTTTGTAAATTTTTATTAATATGAGGCGTTTAACCACGGCGAAAATGGAAAATTGCATTCGACTTCCCAACGAAGCAATGTCAAAAAAGCATTTACAATATCAGCCGAAAGACAATTTATAATTTGAACCGTCACTTCGAAACTACTGGTGATCATAATGGGCATGGGGGATGACATACAAAAAAATAAACCAAAGAACCGAAAGAATTTTATTGAGAGGGACTATGCAGAATAGAACAAATAACTCTATAAAATTAAATGACTTTTTAATGCAACAAACTGGGGTGAGAGTTTCGGACAGAACAGTGATAAGAACATTAAATAAAAACAATTTGAAGTAATAATTTTTTTTTCAAAAATAACATAATGCCAAACACTTTAAATTATATAGCCTATCGCAGAGCAAAATGTGTGTACCATAAAGCGAATAGGCGAGCATGGGCAAATCGGCAAGCAAATTGGGGTAATGCAAAGTGGAGTCATTGTTTATTTACTTACGAAACAAGATTTAATTTGATTCACTCCGATGGCCGAATGTTGGAGAGGGCCAAATCAGCGGTATTTTGAGGAATATATGGCCTCTTAAGAGGCATTTGATGGCGGAGGTGTTACAGTGTGAGGAGGTATCATAAGAAATGATAAAACCGTGCTATTCATTACCAACCAAACCTTTAACGCTACTGTTTATCAGAAGGAAATTTTGGAATCTATTATTATTCTTCTTGTTCGAAATTACGGCCCAGAATTTCTATTGGTGGATGACAACGCTCGACCACACAGAGCGTGAAGGAGCAGAGTTTTTGCAGGTACAGAACATCAATAGGATGGACTGGCCTGCAAAGTTTCCGGATTTTAATGTTACCGAAAGATCGCGTAATGTACCCCCTGAAACCTTAGAAACGCTTAATGAGGCAATTCGTGAAGAGTGGGAGAATATTCCACAAAATTTTATAAATAATCTTGCGGATTCGCTACCAAATCGATGTCGGGCAACTTTTTGATTTTTTGCATGACTTCATTGATCACCCCGTATATAATAAACCTATGGTCCTACGATAAATATACGTCAAAAAAATAAGCAATTAAAATCTGCAAGCCGCCTTCAAAAATTTGCATTCCAGTTTATTTAAAAATCTATTTAAATATTCTATTTAATAACTATTTAAAAAATCGATTTTAAAAATCTATTTTAAACATCTATTTTAAAAATCTATTTTAAAAATCTATTTTAAAAATCTATTTTAAAAATCTATTTTAAAAATCTATTTTAAAAATCTATTTTAAAAATCTATTTTAAAAATCTATTTTAAAAATCTATTTTAAAAATCTATTTTAAAAATCTATTTTAAAAATCTATTTTAAAAATCTATTTTAAAAATCTATTTTAAAAGTCTCTTTTAAAAATCTATTTTAAAAATCTATTTTAAAAATCTATTTTAAAAATTTATTTTAAAAATCTATTTTAAAAATCTATTTTAAAAATATATTTTAAAAATCTATTTTAAAAATCTATTTTAAAAATCTATTTGAAAAATCTATTTGAAAAATCTATTTGAAAAATCTATTTGAAAAATCTATTTGAAAAATCTATTTGAAAAATCTATTTGAAAAATCTATTTGAAAAATCTATTTTAAAAAATCTATTTGAAAAATCTATTTGAAAAATCTATTTTAAAAATCTACTTAAAAAATATTTAAAAAATGTATTTAAAAATGTAGGTATTTAATAAATGTATTTAAAAATGTAGGGATTTAATAAATGTATTTAAAAAATCTTAAAAATCTATTTAAAAATATATTTAAAAAGCTATTTAAAAGAGCTATTTAAAAAATCCATTAAAAAATATTTAAAAAATATATTTAAAAAACTATTTATAAAATCTGTTTAAAAAATTTATTTAAAAAATTTATTTAGGAAATCTATTTAAAAATTTATTTAAGAAAATCTATTTAAAAATCTATTTAAAAATCTATTTAAAAATCTATTTAAAAATCTATTTAAAAATCTATTTAAAAATCTATTTAAAAATCTATTTAAAAATCTATTTAAAAATCTATTTAAAAATCTATTTAAAAATCTATTTAAAAATCTATTTAAAAATCTATTTAAAAATCTATTTAAAAATCTATTTAAAAATCTATTGAAAAATCTACTTAAAAATCTATTGAAAAATCTACTTAAAAATCTATTGAAAAATCTACTTAAAAATCTATTTAAAAATCTATTGAAAAATCTACTTAAAAATCTATTAAAAGATCTATTTAAAAATCTATTTAAAAATCTATTTAAAAATCTATTTAAAAATCTATTTAAAAATCTATTTAAAAATCTATTTAAAAATATACTTAAAAATATATTTAAAAATCTATTTAAAAATTTATTTAAAATCTATTTAAAAATCTATTTAAAAATCTATTTCAAAATCTATTTAAAAATCTATTTAAAAATTTATTTAAAAGTCTTTTTAAAAACCTATTTAGAAGTCTATTTAAAACCTATTAAAAATCTATTTTAAAATCTGTTTAAAAATCTATTTGAAAAACATACATTTAAAAATTCTTTCTATTTCTCATTTTTACATAC